ACCCCCTGCTCAGGCAGGAAACCCTATACCATTTCGGACAAATGGCTGTCCAGTCTCTTCTTAAAAACCTCCAGTGTTGGAGCATTCACCGCTTCTGAAGGCAGATTGTTCCACTGGTTAATTGTTTTAACTGTCAGGAAGTTTCTCCTTAGTTCTAGGTTGCTTCTCTCCTTGATTAGTTTCCACCCGTTGCTTCTTGTCCTGCCTTCAGGCGCCTTGGAAAATAGCTTGACTCCCTCTTCTTTGTGGCAGCCCCTGAGATATTGGAACACTGCTATCATGTCCCCCCTCGTCCTTCTCTTCATTAAACTAGACGTACCCAATTCCAGCAACCGTTCCTGATATGTTTTAGCCTCCAGTCTCCTGATCATCTTTCTGCTCTTCTCTGTACTCTTTCTAGTGTTCGCAGTGACCAAAACTGGATGCACTATTCCAAGTGTGGCCTTACTAAGGCATTGTAAAGTGGTATTAATACTTCACATGATCTTGATTCTATCCCTCTATTAATGCAGCCCAGCACTGTGTTGGGCAGCTGCAGCACATTGCTGGCTCATATTTAAGTGATTGTCCACTAGGACTTCGAGATCCCTCTCATAGTTACTACTATTAAGCAAGGTACCCCCTATACTATACCTGTACATTTGGTTTTTCTTGCCTAAATGTAGAACCTTACTTTTTTCACCATTGAATTTCATTTTGTTAAATAGCGCCCAGTGTTCAAGTCTGTCCAGATCCTTCTGTATCTTAAGCCTGTCTTCTGGAGTGTTGGCTATTCCTGCCAGCTTGGTGTCATCCGCAAATTTGATGAGTTCCCCATCTATCCCCTCGTCCAAATCGTTGATGAAGATGTTGAAGAGCACTGGGCCTAGAACAGAGCCCTGGGGCACCCCACTACACACTTTTCTCCATGTAGATGCAGTTCCATTGAGGACCACACGCTCAGTACGGTTGGTCAGCCAGCTACGAATCCATCTGGTGGTGATGCTGCCTAACCCACATTTTTTTATCTTATCAAGTAGTAGGTTGTGATCTACTTTATCAAATGCCGTACTGAAGTCCAAGTAAATTATGTCCACAGCATTCCTCTGATCCACTAATTTTGTCACTTGGTCAAAGAATGCAATAAGATTTGTCTGGCATGATGTATTTTTGACAAACCCATGTTGACTTTTAGTAATGACTTTGTTTGCCTCTAGGTGTTTGTTGATTCGTTGTTTGATTATCTTTTCCAGGATCTTCCCAGGTATTGAGGTCAGGCTGATAGGTCTGTAATTTCCTGGGTTCGTTTTTTTCCCCTTTTTTGTAGATGGGAACTACATCAGCTCTTTTCCAGTTCTCTGGTAGTTCCCCTGTGCTCCAGGATCTTTGAAAAATATAGTTCAGTGGTTCCAAGATCACATCTGCCAGTTCCTTGAGAACCTTGGGGTGTAATCCATCTGGTCCTGGCGATTTGAACTCGTCTAGGCTGGACAGGTGCTCATTTACCATTTTCTTGCCTATCTTAACTTGCGTTTCTATTCTGTTTTTTATGGCACTATTTTCAATAGGTTGGCCTGTTTTTTCCCTTTGTGTAAGGACAGATGCAAAAACAGATTGACATTGCTCTGAATCTTCCTCATTTCAAGACTTTAACATCATCAGAGGAGCCCCAGAATTCAGAGCTTTATAGCATTTTTCAAACTGATAGACATCAATTGCTTTTTTCTTTTTGGAGTCCTCAAAATTTTCTTTTATTCAGAACATTACATGCCTCTAAACATTGTTTCTCAAGCATGGCAATTTTGAAGCTTGCTGGCTGGGGAATTCAGGGAGTTGAAGTCCACATATCTGAAAATTACCAAGGTTGATAAACACTGTTCTAGAATCTGTGTAGTAAGAATTTCACTCTGATGAGTTGAACCAAAGTTTATGAAACTCACAAGGCTGGTTTTAGTTATCCCTTTAAAATGAATTTGCTGAACTAGGGATAAGATAATGATTTTTCCATGCTGGAACAATTCCCCTAGGAATATTTGGTTTATGAAATTTATCAAAGACAAGGACTACAGTTAGTTCAGGTTCTCTTTTATATAGTGGAACATATTTCTGCAAAAGCTAAAAAATCCAAAAGAGGTGAATACATATTCCCCAAAATTTTATAATCCTTAGCCTTTTTTTTTCCTTCTTGCAAACTTTGATTGAAGTTAAACAGCTTAAAACCAGAGAGCTTATGTGGCTTTCCAAAGTCCTGATTAGTGCCAAATTTAAATGAGCAATAAAACCAAAAGTGAAAAAAATAAAATATATGGAGGGTAATTATATTAAACTGCGCACATCCACGTAACCACCAGGAGTTCAGCTTGATTTGAGAAAGACGCAACTTTTAAAATTAAGTTACTTTTGACTTAAACTTCTATTCATTTAAATGTGTCTTGATTCCACTGATTTGGGGGGGGGGGGAATGCACACTGAAATAGACTATAGCACCTACATGAAAGCACCCTTATTCTAAATTTTATAGTTTATTTCTATAAAGTAGTCATCTCTAACTTAGCACTGTCCAGGATGGGTGTTTCTCAAATTCTGTTATTTTGATGTGCTGGCTGGGAATTCTGGGAGTTGAAGTCCACCCATCTTAAAATTGCGGAATTTGAGAAACTGGCTGATATCCCCAGAATTCTCAGGCAGATTTTTTGCAGCTGTGGGATTTTTTTTTAAAAAAAAATCAGTTTTAACTCCTAGTGCAGGGGTAGGCAACCTGGGCTCTTTTACGACTCGTGGACTTCAACTCCCAGAATTCCTGAGCCAGCATACCATAGCTGGCTCAGGAATTCTGGGAGTTGAAGTCCACGAGTCATAAAAGAGCCCAGATTGCCTACCCCTGTCCTAGTGCCTATAAAGTCCCTGCAGTTTTCTTGGCAACATTTTCAAAAATAGTGTTTCTTTGCCTTTTTCTTTCTAAGGCTCAGAGAGAGGACTGGCCCAAAGTCACCCAGTGGGTTTTGTGTCTAAGGCAAGACTGGCTTTAAGAGTCACCCCAGCTTCTACTTCACTGCCTTCAACCATTAAGCCAAACTGGCTTCTCATCTCGAGGTTAGCATGTTGTTAAGTGGTATGAGCTGTACTAGCAATTCAAGGTCACCTCGGTATTTTTATACTGGATAAAAATACAACTGAAATACCATATGTACAATTGTGATATATAAGCAGTTACAGACCCAGACAGAATGATATACACAGGCATAAACGTAAAGCTGTAATTCCGCACTTTAGACTGCACAGTCCTTTTTAATCAGAATCTTAATTTTAAATTAATCTTTCACATTCCCGCTTTTGTTATTTTTACAAATAACTAAAAGTGGCAAACATATCTACAAACTTAAAACACCAAGGCCGCATATATGTTTGTTTGAAAGAAAGTAAGCCTCCTTCATTTCAGTGGTACCTTTGAGTTAATTGTGATGTAAGTTATTAGCAATTTTATCACACGCCCTTAAAAGGGTATTCTAAGAACTCTAGAAAGACATAAATAAAACTGTGCAGTATAAACTAAGAGTCAATAGCATAAAAGAACACCAGCAAGGAAATCAGATTTCAGTAGAAATATTGGTAAAATTTCAATAGAAATACTGGTAAAACAGAAATATATTTATTTGTAAAATTTATAGGCTGGCCTTCTTACCTCAAAATAACTATGGGTGGCTTAGAGTTATTAATAACAATACATGTTTTTTTCCCCCCACTGGCTTCATATTTGGGCTGCAATAAGCTGGATGAGTTCCCACTTTCACTGGTCTGCCATCCAGGGATTATCTGGAATTCTACAGCCTAGATATGGTGTCCTTTACTTTTTCTAACTAGGTTTTGTTTGCAAGAAACTAGCAGCCTTCAGAGAAGGATTGATCACTTATATAGAACAATAACCCTAAACTCTTTCAAACATTCTGACCCAGATCTCACTTAAAGTCAAGCTGCAGACCAAGATTCACGGTAACACTCTCTCTCTCTCTCTCTCTCTCTCTCTTTCCACTTGCAAAACAACTTCCAGAAATAGCAATATTTCTCCCCCCCCCTACCTCCCCCCAAAAGTCAGAACACTCAGCAATGAAGCCCTGGTGATACCAGTCTACTAAGAATGAGACGAGAACCACTTACAGACCCTGGATCCATTCTCTAAAGTAAAATCATGTAGCAACACGTATGTAATACCATTCATAGACTATACAGGATACATCTCAAGAGACTTGTTTTCCTATTTTGGCTGCCTGATTTCTCCTAGAGATCCAGATCTCAGTCGCTTAAGTGAACATTTCGTGACAACTCGGAAAGACGATCCCTTCCCGTTCCTTAATCCCCTTCCCTAATCCCCTTTCACTTTTTAATCTAGGGAAAGTGCAAATTCAAACAGCCGGAGAAACACCATTTCCCCCTCTCTCGCTTGCACAATTACTTGCGCCACCCCTACCCATATCCTTAAACCCGACTCTGCAACCATCCAGCCATAGGAACGAGTGAACGTTCCCCAAAACAGAATCAATGCTGATCGAGCAGGGGAGATGAACATTTCCAACCCACCGAGGGGAGAAGGAGGTTGATGGTTCTTGCAGACAAAAGATCCAGGTGTTTTCCAAGCAAGATTGACAAACACAAAAAGAGAGAGGCGCACCCCTTCCCCTCTGGCCTACCCCCCCCCCACCAACTGGGTTTAAGGAAGAAAGCAGACGAGGAAGGCGGGAGGAGAAAGAAACGAGAGAGAAAACCAGGCAGACGACAAAAAAAAAATCCAGACACGCCAGCGTCAAGATGGCGTAGAAACAAGCAGGCCTCTGGAGAGAAAACACCCACTCTTCTTTCTCTCTTGCATACCCAATTCTCCGAACCCCAAACCCCAAATCGTTGAATTCCCAAAGGAAAAGAAAAGAAGCATTTTCCTAACAGGTCAAAAGAATGCTCTGCGGGTCCCTTAGAAAAGCAGCAGTCAATCCCCACCTCCGATCAAGACCCCCGGACTCAAACAATACCTGTTTTTTCTTTGATTTCGCAGAGGACAGTGAAGAGAGCCGGCTTCATGCGGTGACAATTCAGCGTGTGCTTCCTGCAGTTGAAACAGTGGAAGAGAAAGAGCAGATAAAGCCATTTGGTTCGTTTTCTGTCGTTTGGAAAGAGCTGAAGGTTTCAAGAAAAGGGAGAATCTACGCTTGTGTCCACCATCGCTCATAGGCCTCGCTCGGCTGAATTAATCCGTTTCCACGTCTAGCAGAGTTTCCCCCCCCCCCAGCAATTCCCAATGTAATTCCCACATCCGGATTTCCCCAGCAATAAAAAAACCCGTGCATTTCCTTCCATTATGGAACGGTTTATCCAAATGATGGAGTACGTTCCACGGGCAGTGAAATGGGAAAACTTTTTCTTTCATCAAGAACTTTTTGATAGCCACAAAATAATGAACTATATACGCATTTCTTGCCAGGATCATATAGAGGAGCAGTAAAATCCTAAGACTGTGTGTTGTTGAGCTTTTATCCATTTTTTCTGCCTGATTTAATTCAGTATGTATTTTTTTAAAATGCAAATACTCTACTTTCTGATACAAAAGGGCCCTTGGTGAAATAGGATTCTCCATTTTGGATGCACAATTCACCTCAGTTCTAAAGAGTAACCCAATATACAAAGTGTTGTAATGGGGTGGGTTTTTTTGCAAATTAAAACCATCTAGAAAGAGAACAAAGACCTGAATCTTAGATAACATTGATGCATATATCGTTAAGCAAAACCGCAAATGGCTAATCACTTATTATCTTCAAAATGGAGTGTAATTGCACTTGAAATTACTAATCTTCCACACTAAAACACAACTTTTGCAATCCAAACTAAAATCTACACCAAGAACCTTTTTTCTCTTTAGAGTCTTGCAAGCCTCAGTGCCCAGCAATTCAACATAAAAAATCCCCATGTACAGAGCCTGCTACTCAGTCCACTAGAATTCGTATTAGCTTTAATAGAAACAAAGCCGCAAGTCTTAGTAAAATACACCCTTGAGGCACTATCCAAATATACCATATTCCTTCTTTTTCCGGCTGGCACCTCACAAGTGTTAAGTAGCATAGCCCGAGTACTCTCCACTCATAGCAACAATCCTAACTGAAAAAGAAAAACACCTTCCAGGAACTGAAATCCATCTTCTGAAGCAAACTAATGTACTACAAAGCTCTTCACACACAACAGAGCTTCAAAACACATCTCAGAAGCCATGCCTGGCAAACAGGATCACACAAAACAATGGCCCTTTAAAGACTGCCAGGAAATAAACTAGTTTTAAACACACACACACACACACACACACACACACAGGGCAAGCCAAGTCCACCAGAAGTTAAAAATTCATAAGTTGCCACCTCAATACCAGGCCAGTGTTGCACTCCAGATCAGAAGGTACACATGTAAAAAAATATTACTCGGCAATACGAAAGTGTAACAGAGAAACTATAATTCTCCATCAGAAGGGGAGAACGGGACAAGATGTGTAGTAAGAAAATTGAGTGGAAACTCAAGAAGTAAAAAAAAAAGTGTGAATCTGGTTGTTAATTTGAGGGGAGAACCCCATAATTTTTCTCTAATCAGTTCTTAGATCTTAAGCAGGAAGGGTTTAATCCCTATTTATTTCTCTCGCTGCTTCAGACAGATCCAGTGAATTTTTTACATCTGTACCTAAATCCTATTTTACAGTTTCCTCAAGCCAACAGCTGCTTTTGGGTTCATATATTTTTGAGTGCAAATCCCTTCGCCCATGTAGATTGCATGTAAAGCCCAAAGCATCTCTGGATCCAGTTCCTTATTTTCTCTTTTTATCTTAAATGCCAGATCCAGCAGGCCCCAAGAACCCAGCCTGCTTGCTTGTTAATCAAGTTTTTTTTTTATGCCTCCCTACCACAACTCTCACCTCTTCCCAACAATAAATACAAATCAAACAAAGCTCTGTATTTCCAAGCCTCGGGCGAAACTCTCCCCACCAAATTCCCCCAAAGCGATCCCTTTCTTCGCAAAGCCCACTATTCTCCCCCCCTTTAAAGAATACGCCCCTTCTCCAGAACTTCCATTTCTACTTTCTGCCCCAAAGGCAAATTTGGCTTCCAAGGAGCTGATCAAGGCCAGGTTGTTTCGGAGCACCCCCTAAAAATCCCTGGGTCGGGAATCCCATCCCATTCCTGGCTTTTCAAGTCTCCGGCGCTCCTTTCCAACCAGCCACTCAAGGCAAAAAAAAAACTCGCAGGGAAGGAGAGCGCTGGGGGATCAAGCCAGCAAATCCACCGCAGGGCCTTCCAGATCCCAGTTTGGACAACTCCGTGAGGCTTTGCCAAGAGTTTGCACCCCTCTACCGCACGCAAACACAAAGGGAGCCCACCCGCCTCAACTTTCCAGCCTCCCCCCTCCCCTCCCCTACGCCCCGGCCGTCCAGGACTCGAGAAGGCGAACCAACTTTGCTTGCGCTTCGTCCAGGCTCTGATCGGTGATGGTCATGATCTGCTGGAGGATGTCGCCGATATCTTGCTTCCGGGGCTCTCCGTTATCCGAAGGGGGCTCGAGAAGAGCGTGGGGGGTCATGGCTTGGACCCCCTGGACGGGGGGGTGCCCTGGGATCCCCACCGCCCCCCGCACTTGGATCAGCCTGCTTGGATCATCCATGCTCGGCGAAGGGACCCCCCGCGCGCGTCCACGCCGAGCCGCGAGCAAGCAAGGAAGCGAGCCGGCTGGCGGGCGGGCGGGCGGGCGAGCCCCAGCGGGAGGACGGGCGGGCGGGAGGACGCTCCGGCTTTGGCCGCCCGCGACAACAAGGGCGACGCTGGGGGAAGAAAGGCTGGCGCGCTAGTCCATCTTGGCGGTGCGCTCCCACGGCCCCTTCCTTGGAGACTTTGGGACTGGAAAATGGACTCCCGCACAAGGGCTGGAGGAGGGGGAGGGAGGAGGAGGAGGAGCTGGGAAGGGGGAGGGAAGAGAAGAGAAGGAAAAAGGAGGAGAGGAGCTCAGCTTCTCCCTTTCGTCCCCCCTCGCTTCTTCTCCTCCTCCTCCTCCTCCTCCTGCTCTTCCTCCTCCTCCTCCTCCTTCGGCGCCTCCTCCCCTGCTCTTGGTGCGCCCAGACGGAGAAGTGCGACTGTGCTTTTCTCTATTTGCTGCCCTCCGCTGGCTTGGGAGAAGCAAAACGCCCAGAGCCGTTTCTCCACCTCTTCTCCAGAGCCGACCGGCTTCCTCCCGGAGGCGGAGAAGCGCACAAATGGAAGGAAGGAAGCGGAGGAGCCGCGGGGCCCTTTGCGCCCTCATGGAGCGCAGGGTTGGATCCACTCTGCGCGCTCGCCCCTTCCCGCTAAAGGGCCGCGATCGGATCCTTCCCGCTGAAGATCCCAAAGATCGACGCATTGCAAACACACAACACCAACCGCCCTCCCCAACTGGGATCTGCTGTTTGCGAAAGAGTCGCTCTGGCTTTGGCTTGGAGGGGACTTGGTGCGGCTTGTCGCGCTAGGCTACGGCTTGTTTAATTGTGTTTTGAAATCAGAGCCATACTTGTCACTGTGGACGTAAAAGGGGAGCCCGCGCGATGCTTGTACGGTACGCGGCGTTTAGAGGGGGATGCTCTTCTGCCGCCGTTTCGTTTTTATTTATTTGTTTGTTAGTTTTTTAAACGTTTGAACATTGTTTTCATTGCGCCCAAAGTCTCATTCAGTGAGATGGGGGCCCCATATACTATTTTTTTAAAATAATAAATAAAAGTAACCATGTAAACCATGGTTTACAGCTGTTTCTATCTGAAATGCAGGTAGTCCTCGACTTACAACAGTTCACTTAATGGCCTGCACTGAAAAAAGGTGATTGAGGACCGTTTTTCCACAGTTATGAAGCTTCCCCATGATTATGTGATCAAAACCTCAGTTGTGAGGTTGAGGACTCATTATGGCTTTATGAGATGTGCCAGTCCAGGGACTATGAAGTTGTACATTGCACTGAACTGGACTTGGCTTAATCATAGTTTACTTGGTAAATTACAGTTGAGTGGGTGCACATAGCACTAAGGGGTAGGCAACCTTGGCTCTTTTATGACTCGTGGACTTCAACTCCCAGAATTCCTGCTGGCTCAGTCCATAGTCATAAAAGTCCACAAGTCATAAAAGAACCAAGATTGCCTACCCCTGCACTAAGGGTATCAATCATGATTTACAAACCAGACAAACCTAAGCAACCTCTGTAGTTTTGAAGCTTGTTTCCAAAACTCCAAAGAATTCCAGTTGGTTAGCATCCTGACGATATTACCTAGCCAGGTAATGCAAGGTTTGCAAACAAGCAACCAAGTTCAGACAGCACCAAAGACTCCATAGTTCAAGCCTAAACTGCAGATATTCTTTTCTATTCCAAGCAAACCATATGCTTAGCCCTAAACCCAGTTTGTAAGAGTAGCGTAGCAGCTATAAAAATATACATTTGCCCAAGCAAAATAAAATTTTAAAAATCTGCATGAAGTTCACGAAGCTCAAGTTTATAGTTTAAAATAGGATATCCCAATCCCATACAAGTGTAAAAGAACCACAACGTTTAATACTGGATATTAAATTTAACAATTTTCTATATGATGGCTTTCATTATCATAAAAAAATGTCAGGTTTCAAATCTTCATGTTTTTACAAGCAGATGTTAAATTCAAGGAGATAAATACCAGTCTTCAGACTGATGAGTCTAGGATAATTTTTGTATCAGTGTAGGCAAATGATACAGAGAAGAGCAACAAAGATGATTAGAGGACTGGAGGCTAAAACATATAAGGAACGGTTGCTGGAATTGGGTATGTCTAGTTTAATGAAAAGAAGGACGAGGGGGGACATGATAGCAGTGTTCCAATATCTCAGTAGCTGCCACAAAGAAGAGGGAGTCAAGCTATTTTCCAAAGCACCTGAAGGCAGGACAAGAAGCAATGGATGGAAACTAATCAAGGATAGAAACAACCTAGAACTAAGGAGAAACTTCCTGACTGTTAGAACAATTAACCAGTGGAACAACCTGCCTCCAGAAGCCATGAATGCTCCAACACTGAAAGTTTTAAAGAAGAGACTGCACAGCCATTTGTCTGAAATGGTATAGGGTTTCCTGCCTGAGCAGGGGATTGGACTAGATGACCTCCAAGGTTCCTTCCAACTTTATTATTATTATTATTATTATTTCCTTTATTTTTTCTAGCACATGTAGCGTTCATAGAATTGGAATTTGTAGGATTCAGAAAACTTGTCAGGGCAAAGGATTTGGACGTTTACAACAGCAAAAGCGTACAAAATAATTGTCAGGCGCAGGAAACAGAACAACATGGAACTGATCAGAGCAGTATGTTTATTGCTACTACCCTGTGTACAAGAATCTTGCCAGACTAACTACTCACTACAGAACAACTAGATAAGGACTCCAAGGGGTATTTTTTGGGGGGGGTGTCTGCTTCATGTTATTTCCTCCCTTTCAGAGATTCCAGGTTAGCCAGTCTCTTAACCGCTCCTTCCACTTCAGCTACAGATTCCACATCATAAAAAATGCAACTCAGCCCAAGTAACTTAATGCAACTAAATTAGACAGTAATGTAAGAAGAGTGTTGATACAATATATGAAATAATGGATGCCAAAGATTTAATTTCTATAAAGTCTCCAGAAGACTTTGGCTTACTTTTGGACAGCCATACCAAAGGAGCCAAATGCTCCTGCAAAGAATGGAATGGAATGGAATAAAAAATGAATGGAATGGATGGAAAGGAATGGAATGGAATGGAATGAAAAGGAAAGGAATAAAAGATAATGGAATGGAATGGAATAGAATGGAATAGAATAGAGTAGAATAGAATAGGATAGAAATTGGAAGGGTCCTTGGATCTTCTAGTCCAGTGGTTTTCAACCTTTTTAATGCCGCAACCCCCAACCGGTCGTAAGTTGAGGACTACCCAACCGGTCGTAAGTCGAGGACTTTCCCTGCCCGGGAGCGCCGTGCATGCGTGGTGCCGCCCCCTGTGCTGGCCGAGACGTAGCTGGCAAGCGGCAGAGACAGCGCAGGGTGACCACCGGCTGGGCCACCAGCTGGCCCAGCCCAAGGGAGGTAAGGCACCCGCCGGGCCCCACACGCGCCAGCAACCCTCCCTGCGCCCACCGGCCTCCCACCTCCCACCCCTGGCCCTCTTTTATTTACATTTTTAGTAGTTGCTCAGCAGGGAGGGGTGGAAACTTCCAGACAGCTCGCCTTCGCTGAAGACAACTTGCAGCACCATTTGCAGAATGGGACTTTTGGCGGGCTCAGCAGGGCAAAGACAGCCTGGACAATTCCTATTGGCTTTTGAAAGCCAATAGAATTAGACTCTATTCAAGAGAGTCTATTCTATTGCCTTTCAAAAGCCAATAGAATAAAAGGGAGTAGCACAGCTAAGGAAAAGGGAGGAAAAATGGCGGACTGTGTTGTTTGGCGACCCCCATGAAATGGTTGTTCGACCCCAAATGGGGTCCCGACCCACAGGTTGAGAACCACTGTTCTAGTCCAACCTCATGCTCAAATAGGATACTCTACACCATTTCCAGCAGAGGGCTGAAATATCTTAGTACCAAGTCATGTTGGGCATTATAAGCCAATGCAATGTGCAACTGAGAGAGAGGGGGGGATATTGAAAACAGCACTGCAATTTCCCAGAGAGGAGGCAACGCATTCCAGAGAGGGGCCCAGCGCAAGAGACTGCACTGTCCTCAACTGGCTGAGGGAGGGAGGAAAAGGTTCAGGGTAGACACAGCCTAGAATCTCCAAGGGTATATCTATTAGGTTATTCTTTTAGTCTGGCCAGATTTTGTCTATTAGACGTAAGCAAATAAAGAACTGGATTCGATTGGGACTCACCATGCCATCTTTGGACTTAGGCCTGAAGCAGCCATTTCAATTTCCCTCAGAAATCTATTAGCAGACAATGCAGAGCCTGCACAATAGGCAAACTATGGGGCAGCATATAAATTTTATTAATAAATAAATAAATAAACTAGGGATTGGGCGGCATATAAATTTTATTAATAAATAAATAAATAAATAAATAAATAAATAAATAAATAAATAAATAAATAAATAAAATAAAATAAATAAACAAACTGCACTTCTGGGTATTCTCCAAAGGCAGTCCCATGTAGAGCAGGGGTCCCTGATCCCTGGTCCATGGACCGGCAATAGTCCGTGGCATGCCACGGAAACAGGTCCACGCAAACAAGCGAAGACCCATCCGTGGGATGCAGGCAGCAGACTAAACCACACCCCCTCCAGTCCATAGAAAAACCTCTGTCCGTGGAATCGGTCCCTGGTGCCCAAAAGGTTGGAGGCCGCTAACGTAGAGCACATTGCAGAAGTCTAACCAACCAACGATAAGGACGTGAATCTTTGTAGCCAAGTCCTCCTGCTTTAAGGAGGACCACTGCACATCAGTGGCACCTGGGAATCCTAGAGAACCCCAATTCACAGACTTGCTACTTTATGGGAAGTGCTGCGTGTTTGAGAGATGACAGTGGAACCAGCAGAGGACAGCAAAGCACAAAGAGCTTTTAGTATCTTTCATCCCATCTGGACCTCAACATCTGTTGAACAAGAATGTGGTGACCTCTGCAGCTGGTACTCGGAAGGCAATATAATGATGCCCCTCTAACTATTGGATGGCCTCTCCCAGAAGCTTCATATTAAACAGGAAGAGCAAAGCTGGGTACCCCACAACAAAAGCATCCACAAGCTGGAACCATCTACTGAAGTAGGAAATGTCTCTGATCCCCAATCCTTAAAAGCCTCTCCAAAGGATATTACAGTTGATGATAGCAAAAGTCACCAAGAGATCTAGTAGTGGGATGCCCTATTCTGTCCAGTTCCCAATACTAGGCAGGGTTTCT